GTCTGTCACGCTTTACTTTGCCAGAACAAATAGGACAAAGGCCAAGGTGGAAGTTGTAATTTAGACTTTAAAATTGCAAAGCTGACCATAATCGGGAAAGACCAGTCAACAAATTTTGAAAACGGAATGTCGTAAGCTTAGAGTAATATTAAAAATTTACTGATGTTTGTTAAGGTAATTACACGTGATACATATGTTAGAGTTAATTGCATATAGTCGGTGGTATTTTTAGTATTAGTTAGTGTTGTTATAATCATTACCATTTGAAGACTAAGAGAGAAGCTGAGCAGCGTAAGTTTTAGTATTAGGCTTAGGGATCTTCTTGCATATTTTCGATAAAACCTAATCTATTACATGTGAACACCATGTTCAGTAATGACAAAAAGACGATGATATGTAGATTATAAAACGGTTCATGCTTGCATCTCGACTTGGTTTTTCTTCATGTCTTTTGTTCGAGTATTTAAAATTATTTTTATATAAATTAAATTTTATCGTTTACCTGTTTTATGAGTGAAAGAAAACGTTTATGTAAAAACATTTTGTAGAATTTATTCAATCATGATTATTGATAGAGTGGTAAAAAAATTGTTTGTAAAAACATTGAATGACAGTTAGGAAACAAGAGTCATCATAATAATATTAATTAATATTCAAAAGAAAATATTAGCAACTGTTATCCAATAATACAAGACCAAGCTTCCACAAGTCTAGCTGCTTTGGTAATCGTCACTGGATGATGGAGGGATTAATGCTTTTGATTTTGTTTAAGGTTCTTTACTTCCATCTTTATTTTCCTTTTAATGTATTAAGTTTTCCGAGATCTTGCAGTCTTGGAATAATTCCCATTATTTTATTTTTGGGTGTATACGAATTATGTACATTCTGTCCATTTGCATTTGACGACAAGGTGGACTGAGCTGACTCGTATTTTGCCATTTTATTAGCTTTATAGAGCAACGACAACAACTCTTGTCATCCTCACTCCCCCGTACGTACCATTAACCTCTTACTTCAATTATTCAAACTCTATATTGTTGAACTCCCCTCTCCGTTTTCATTGTTTGACTAACTCCATCGTACGGCCCCTGCCATTCCTCTTTAACTATAAACTCACATTCCCCTCTCTTTTCCAATTCCACCATCCCTCTTTTTCTCTTCATTCGCAGTTTTTGGTTGATTTGATCAACATTCTGAACCAGCCCCAACTATAATGCCGAAAATGAGGCGATGAAAGGGTGACGTAATCGTAGAGAGCAAAAAAAATTGTAAAAAATGCACAAGTGCAGTGATTCTCAGGGAAACATGGCGTTCGGTGCATGTTCATGTGGTCTGTTTCATAGCCAAAGCAACTCCTTCTCATTGCCTTTTTCCATGTCAAACCTAAAATATGTCGATGAAACGGACATGCACCGTTTCACGTCCTCTTCTTCTTCATCGTCTTCTTCCGTCGATTGCACTCTCTCGTTGGGAACTCCATCTACTCGGCTTTGCGAAAACAATGGCAACAAGCGTTTCCGCCATGAGCGCCACTCTTCTAGCTTTTGTTTGGACTTGTTACAGGACAAGAACATACCTTATTCGCAGCAAAGTGCAAAAGGTAGACGTGGAAGCAATGGGAATAGCAGTAGTAGCATCTCGGGCAATGATACTCTCTTAGCTCGCCGTTGTGCTAACTGTGACACCACTTTGGAGGAACGGTCCAAGAGGTCCAAAGGTATATAGATATATTACAAATAAACACTTCTTTCTTTGAAAACAAGTGCAGTTTCAATGATTCTTCATATGGTTCTTTTTTAATTGTAGTCACTTTGCAGTGCTTGTGGAATTCGATTCAAGAAAGAAGAAAGAAGAGCAGCAAATGCCAGCAACTCATCAGGTGCAGGCGTGCAGCGGCTTCAATGTATTCATGGGTTCATCATTCGCAGAACCAGAGAATGCCATGTTTTTCATCGCCTGTCAATGTATTCTGGTTCATTTGATGACAGTGCGATTGAGATTCTGATACTGGGGATTCCCTTTCTTAATTTCTTGGAGACTCCACGTTAAAGACAGGCCAACAAGTCTTGTCCACGACTTCATAAGATAAGATTGATAAGAAGACAATAAAAGAAGAAGAAGAAGAAAAGAAACCCTAGCCCCTCATTGACTGTCAAGATCATGCAGCAATGACTGGAACGTTTCACGATAATGATATTGTCCGTGTCTATATGATCTTAATTTCGCATCGTCAAACCTCAGCACTGTTGGTTTACTGATTTTCCTGATGTAACGTTTTAGCTTATATATATATATAAAAAAATGAGACTGTACTTTTTCTTTCTTTTCCTTTTCATGCTATATGAACTGAAGTTTTATTATAATTATCCAATACCCTGGAATGTCAAGCAACTTCTTGCTTGTCTCTCAATTTCACAACTGAAGAACGGAAAGAAAAATGGGCTTTCATTTTTCATCGGAGACTTTTGCAATGAATAATAAATATTGTGATTTTTTTTCAAACTTTAAGTAAATTGATTAAAATATTTGTAAATACGACGGACCAATTACTTTGTGTTTACATTTGTGATTGTTCCAAGTCTGTGAGGACACTGTGCTTCTCAGAACATACAGAAATGCGATTTGTCGTTTTAAGATTTTTGGTCATGTCCGAAACCACTCATTTCTTCGAATCTTGACCGTCAAATTGGCCTCTAATGCACACCTTGGGACACACTCCTAACTAGAAATTGTTCATCTTTCAGTGCCAACTGAATCTTTTCACAATAAATTTTAAAAAGGAAGAGGCCACCAGGTTCAAATGGCATAAACTTCTCCATTCCGCAGCAAAATCGTAGAGAACATTTGATACAGTAGAAAGTAATCACTTTTCAAAGAATTTAATTACTAGAAGAAATTATACCTTTCTATTTTTTTTCTTTTTTTATCAAATCAAGTCTTAAGGAATAGGGGTAATGGAAATAGTGGTAACCACTTTCATTTTCATGTTGCTTTCTTGCAAATTGTGCTTTCAAAATCCCAAATTTAAGCTTAGTTCCAAGAAAATATCTTTAACCTCTCATTCTCAATGTTTAGTGGCTGAAACTGAAGCATGTCTATATATTCAACTTTTCCACGGATGAGATGATAAGTTCAAATCCAGAATGCATGGTTTCCTTTCTTTGAAGTTTATTATAATTGATCCACCCTTTTGAATTCGGGTCCACTAAGAGCTAAGGTCAGTAATTGCAATCATAGACCTGAATATATTGAGCAGAATTAGAATTAAAAAAAGAAGTTGATGGGCAAGTTTTCGATCATTGGTAGGTTACTTTAATGAGTTGGCAAGGGACAATAGCCAATAATGGTGGGATTTTTTTATAACCTCGATTTCCGATTTATTAATCAATTAATCCATATTTGGTGTTGTAGAAATCTAATACGAGAACGATTCTTTCAACTTAATTTACTTTATTCGTAAACGATAGAATTTAAATCCTTGATCTTACTTAAAAAACATATTGTTTCATCATACCCGACCAACTGATTTGTTGATATAATGGTGGAGTTTTGTGAGTGTGATCAATATCTGTTCTGCATAAGTTTGTGAGGAGACATACCCACATGAGGTTGGTGAAGGTCCTTCCAACATACCCTATACCCATGCTCTCTTAAGTCCTACCCTACCATTATGGGACAACAAAAAAAATTATGCCTGAGAAGTTGAGATATATGGGTCAATTAGGTCAGATAATTTTTCTTTGTGGATTAAAGTATAATTTAAGAATCTGTCAATCCTCTCTATCCCGTTCTTAGATGAGAAGAAAAAGCTGGTTGGGGGGATTTGCTGCCTTAAATTATCACACATTGTCGGTGGGTCACTCGTATAATCCATTCAATATATCCATGCAAATATTCTTGTCCCGGGAAATTAAGAGATGAACCGGCGTCCCCATATCCCTTATCCTCGCCGATCTTTAAGCTATATAAAAAACTCGAATAAATACCTGTGAAAGTGCATATATGTAACAAGTTTGTCCCTGAATCAGTCACAGGGTGTTGCAAAGTATCTGTGCATGTTGGTTGGTTTGATATGTTAGAAATATTTACTTGCTTGCTTGCTGCTGCACTTAAGGCTTTATATATCCAGATTCAGAAACTGTTTTGGTTATGTAAGAACTTGAAATGAACAATTTAACTTGATGTTCAGATTTGGCACTGGTTTTTTTTTTTGTTTTTTTTTTTACTTTCTTTGTTAAAGGGTTAATTTCTAGATTGGTCCCAAACTTCCTTCAAATGTTCATTGAGCCCTCCTCTTAATCATTCTGTTCTGTGATGTGTTTGCTTTGTCTGTTAACGGGGTTAATTGCTCTAAAATATCTCCAAACCATGAGCCAAATTCTAAATTTTTCTCTAAAGTATGCCTTGTTTGCTATAGGCGTTCATTCTTTAAATGTCCTCAAATGATGAAAAAAATGTTCTAATAAAGTAACATAATAAAATTTTATAAAACATAAAAATAATTATTTTATAAAATTAATGTAAATGAATAAACTGAAATGATTGTTTAATAAATATAATTTAATTAGATATAAGTTATATTTATTTTCTATACTTATTATATAAAAAATGAAATTAAAAATATGTTTTAAATTAGTATAATAAATATTTTTTTGATTATTCATAAATTAAAAAAACAATTATTAGGAAACTTGAAGGTTCTTCAAACGACTTGATTTGATTGTTTGTTTAGAGGTAGTCTTTTTGACGATGAAAACTCACCAAATTTAAAAGTTTAATCTGCGGGTAGAAGCCTCCAGATATCACAGATTCATTTGAATCACCTTCACCAAACTTTGAAAATGTTAACCTCAGGTCCTCAACCTCAACCATAACCCGAACCCGAAACACCCGACCATGTTTTGAAGCCTCTCGTTTTCTGTTATAAACTGACATTCTCACATGGAGTTTATGTCACTGGGTCCCATTGGCCACAAGCTCACGTTAATGGCTTACATTCTTGGCCACTCTTTTATCCAAATCCTTTTTCTTTATAAATATAATTATATATCCTTGCAAATTCATCTTCACCATAGCAACTTCTTGTTTCTTGGAAAAAACAAGAGGGTCTTGAAAAGTTTCAAAAGGAATCTCATTTCTCCTCCCTGGTAAATTGACCAGAGATGTTACATAGGTTGGAGTCCTTAGAAAGCTGTAACTATAACGGGATGGACGTGGCAGTGCTCGAGAAACAAGCAGCAGGATTGAAATGGCAGCAGCAAAACTATGTGGTCCAAAACAGCAATCTTGTTGATCTATGTGCAAGCTCAGTACCTCAGTTTCAGGGTCTGTTTGGGAGCAATTTAGGTCGTGGACAAATGATTGAGCTGAAAAGGCCAGAAGTTTTTCTGGGTAGTGATGATTTTCAGGAATTTGTGAACTTTCCGGTAGCTGGACCAGAGTTTGGTGACAGTGAAAAGTTGGATTTGGTGCCGCATGAGGCTGCTGCAGATTACTGTATTTCTCGGACTTCTAGCTGTCAGATGACAGCTCACAATACTTCTGTAATGAAAGAGGAAAGAGAGGATACGATTCTGGAGAAAATGGAATCCGCCATTGGCAGTGGCAAAGAGAGCTTTAACAAGAGAAAAGCTGAGGTTTGTTACTTTGTCTTCACTCCAAGTTTCTGGTTATTATGAATTATGAACTTCTGAATAAATTTGATCATTACGATACTAAGGTTATGAATTGTGGTAAAGATTTACTTGATCATTAATGCATTTGTCTCTTGATGTACAGGCTGTTGCAGACCATAAAAGTAAAGGTAAGAGGATTAAAGGGGAAGGGGAATCTGAGGTGAAAGCAAAATGCAGTACTGAAATTTCCAGGGATTCTTCAAAGGAGAACTCCAAGGCTTCTGAGGTTCAGAAACCGGATTACATTCTTGTAAGAGCGCATCGCGGCCAGGCTACGGACAGTCACAGCTTGGCTGAAAGAGTAAGTTGGAAAACTTTTTCGAATTTTGAGTTTCCGAGTTGAAATTGCTAAGGAAAATTATTAGTAACTTAATTGTGGCCTTTTTTATCTGTGTCTGTAATGTACAGGCCAGAAGGGAAAAGATCAGTAAGAAGATGAAATGCTTGCAGGATTTAGTCCCTGGTTGCAATAAAATCACAGGCAAAACTGGAATGCTTGATGAAATAATCAACTACGTTCAATCTCTCCAAAGACAAGTTGAGGTAAGATGGATATGCATATTGATATTGTTAGCCATTGAATATTTTAGTACATTATCTTTCTGTTAAGCTTATCAAGTTGTAATTTAATAAACTTGCAGTTCTTGTCTATGAAAATTGCTGCTCTAAATTCAAGTGTTGAAAACCTACCTATGAAAGAGGTAAGAAAACAGATTTCTGAATTGTCCTTTCTCACTGTGCATAACAAGCGACTTCTTTTATGACTGACTTGTGCTTAAATAATCATGCAATGAAGTTTCCTGCTTATGTCGCCAATTTTCCAGCAGCCGCTAAGTTACCGGAAATGGCCGGTTTGCCCTCCTACTTTCAGTTGAATCCATTGCAAAAAGAATCTGTAAATTGCATGTTAAATGAATCAATGCTTCCTCCCCAAACAGCAACTGAAGGAATTGCAAGTGCTTCTGTTTCTAGCTCATCCGGCATAACTGTAATTTTCCTACTTTTATAATTTTAACTACTCTTCTTTCCTGATTTCATGTATGATGTTCTGAATTGCCTCCCATATTGCAGCAACTGCAACCATTCTCAGCTTGGAACATGGATCCTCAAGGTCTTTCCAATATGTACAATATGGGGTTTTATTAAGGATGATCAACTAATTTTTGCCTACAACATCAACAGGTAGCTGTAGCAATCTGACTCTTGTTTTCCTCTCCAATTCCATTTTGTTCATCTATGTTACATGGACTCTGTTATAAGTGTTGGATACATTCATATTCAGAACATGTTTGGATATACGTCCGACACGGACGTTACATGAAAGATGAAGAGCCGGTGCAACATACTTGTACATAAACATAATCCATTACAGGATATACACACACACATATTTGTCCCTTCTTCCAGCGAGCAAAAACATCTGCCATTTTCAGTTTATTTATTCCTTAGTCATCAGCTAAAATATGTTGTTCACTGGTTTTTTCTGCAGATTCTATTCCTGGAATCATATCAAACTTCTAGAGGGAATACAATTACAAATGCCACTATTCCAATGATTCTGATAGTTACCATTCCTGAAATCCTTGCAGTATCAAGATGAAGATGTTATTTTTTATGACATTATTGATTATTCACCATCTTAATCCTTACAAGACTGTATTACTAGGAAAATTCCAACAAATTACTCGATGAACAAACTCTTGTTCTTCATGTATAGTCCCCACTATTCTAATAAAATCTATATCATTAATCATCATAATTTTTTTTCCATATTTGCATTGTATAATGACTAAAGATATGTTTCTTGTCAGTATGTTTGCCCAATGCAATGAATATGGATGTCTTTCTAGGCTGTGAAAGGAGAGAAAGCATAAAGGACCACACTAAGACTACCCTAAAAAAGGGCTGATGGAAACAGAAAATGACATAAGAGGCATAGTGTTGGAAACTTTAAGTCATTGTTGAGGGGGCAACAAAGATGATAGAGATGAGTGAAAAGGGTGGGAGCTAATGACAGAAATGGCCCAGCCAGCTGCCCAACTTGCCTGTAAATCTCAAAACTCTCTTTGGCAATACTAAAAGCAAAAGACGGTTCAATCCAATATAACCAAACATCCTTGATATCATTATGGAGGCCGTTAACAGTTTTCTTATTGTTTCTCCGACTCTCTCAGTGAAAGCTGGAGGATCTGTCTACCTTTTCAATATCGGTTTACAGTGGACTAAAAAACTCAGTGAAACCTGGAGGATCTGTCTCCCTTTTCAATATTGGTTTACAGTGGAATAAAAAATTGATCAGGCATTTGAGATATGCTTAAAATCTATAGTCCCTCCTAAATCCGAATTTGGGTCTCAACTGTTGTTGAGAGGGTAATAAATGTGGCCTAACATCTGTCTTGGAGAACAAAAAGACATTGAACTTGAAATGTGGAAGGTTGTCTGAGATTGAAGAGAACAAAAACATGTTGCAGAAAGCAACCATATGATTCGTTCAGAACTAAGAAATTATAGACAAGCTTATACACATCTATAACATGATGAATATGAAGAAAAATAGATGATATTGACACTGATAGTGTTCACTCCCTTGTGCAAAAGGCAGTAGATATTTGAAACGTCACTGTGCAATGAAATATTGTTCCTCCGAACAGACAAGGAAGAATTCTGTGTTGGTGTTACTGGAAGGCAGGTTTAACTATTATATCAATATCTTCGTTTCGAGTTTATTAATAAGAAAACAATGCAAGATATAGGCAACTTGCTGTTAATTCAGTTCTGATTCTAAGATGATAAAACAATATACAAGTCAGATTGCATGATCAGAAAAGTCATGCACCAAACAGCTTATATCAGCCAGTAAAGACCAGGCAAGAAAAGCTTCCATTTGAATACAAATACAGTACTAAAAAGAAAGGAAGCATTCTATAGGAGAAAGATATGTATCTCCTACCAGCATATCCTTATTCATATGCCAATTCCCTATAAAGCTGATTGGTAGATCGCAAAGGCGTTCAAGGAAGGGTTACTAATAATCCATGGCGACATCAGTGATGTAGATCCCAACCTGTGGTGATCATTCACAAGCTGGTTTGGTGTCAAAGCAGCTTAGGCTGATTACAAAAGCTTGAAAAGCTGAAAGAGGGTAACGATAATCCATGGTGAAGATGTCTTTGCCGATTTTTCCAAACTGTAAGATCACCTTCTCTTGCTCTTCAGGTGATACATTGTGTGATGGCTCAACAGCTGCAACAAGCTGGAAATTCTTAACAGAGGCCACTGTCACACGCCCCTTGAAGTTAAGGCACCAGCACTGTAACTGTTCATGCCATCTAGGAGCCTTGTTTTTAAGGGCTAATGGTTCTGCTGAGCCTGAGGAGAATACTGGTGTGGCCGAGAGGCTTGGAGAGATGGGATCTATGATCAGCTCCTTTCCTTTTGAACTCAAGGGATAAAGTTGTTCATCAAAGGATTTGGGGAGGGCTAATGGTGTTAGAGCAGTGCCTCCTCCTTGAATAGCAGAGATGGGAATCGAATGCAAAATGCAATGCATTCTCCTTGGTCCTCGTGTTCGTAGAACATTGAGCTCATAGGTAACAGTACCAATGCTGTAGTTGCATGCAGGTAATCTTGGAGACACCTGCTTAGTGTGAAATTTACGACTCAGTCGAGCAGTTGACGGGATTATCGAGTCACATGGAGGTTGACTGTCATATAGTGAACTTGGTACCCAAAAATTAGACCTGAAAAGAAATCACAATATGCCATAGACGTGAGGAGAAAAAATCAGATAAGAATGAGAAATCCAATGGTGAGACTTGCCTTAGTTTACCAACATACGTATTGCTTGCCCTAGAAAAATCATCTGCAACCAAAGATATAACAAAATCTGTGCATGTTGCCCTTCGGACCTTTCTGGCTGCCAACAATAATTTATTTCTCTCTCCCTCGGCTGTAAACCAAAGAAGTAACACAAGTGAGTACCTCATAAAACCTGAGGAAGCTTCATTACTTGAAGGCTGAGTAACCCTGTTTATGTAACAAAGTTGCTTCCGCAAGCAATAATGCACTATGTTTACAGTTTTCCAATCAAAGGATGTCACACTAACTTTTCCATTGGAGCAACTTTTTTAAGATAAAAATGATATAGATGTACATCATAACAAGATGACTTACAAGGCACCAGACCACAGAACAAAAGATATGTAGAAGCCGTTCTGTCCCTTCTAATATAGCACTGAATCGGAGACTCCCGAGGACCCGGCTGTTCATTAGCACAAAGAGAATATATAAATAAACTTACAAATCGAAGAATAAGAAAATAATCACTACCATTATTCATGGACACCAACATGAGAGTTATTGTTGTCTGTATGGCAGACATAGCAGATTAGGGAAAATAAATACTTTAGCTTCATATGCATTGTTCGAAAAGTTAAAATCATATATTAAACTATCAGTTAGTGCTCATTTGATGACAGAAAAGTCCCGACTAATGATTAATTTTTCTGAAAATATGCATACAATCAATATATCCAAGCGAAGTTTTTCACTCCCCTTGACATAAATCTAGCTAAACTCTAAACATACAGACTCCATCAGGTTATTCTAAAGGGATCAAAATGACATATTACCCAACAAGGAAGGGGTTTTAACCTGTTTCAATGAGATGGGGAATGTGAGTCTTCCACATTGCTCGGGAGTCTTCACAATCTCGTTTGTGATTTCCCTCCAAGACCTACAAACTGCAGCACAGAAGACAACGACAGTTCGAGCAGGCCAAGCCGTTTCGCTATCTTCGACCCTCTGGATGATATCCGAGAGCAATTCAGGTGGTAGATTGGCCCAAGGGCTTTGCTCTGTGAGTTCAGGTTCCAATGGTGCTTCATCAGGAGCTACATAGGATCTGGTCTGGCTACGCCAAAGCTTGCTTTGATCTCCCCTCTTTGACATGTTACCGATCACATCTTTCATTTCCTTTAACTCCCGCATGATCCTCTTCTGTGACATCTTCTATAAGGTACCAAATCCAATTTCTCAATATCCAACTGAAAAGAACAAATCGTATCAAACACCAAAAAAGAAAAAGAAAAACTTTTTCTTCACTTCTCAAATCTCAGCTCAACTATAAGCAAATTCACATCAAATCAAACTCCATGAATTAATATTAACACCCAGAAGACACAAAATAAATAAAACTTCAAGATCAACAACAAAATTCTTTAACATGTATTTCATTTTACCAGAATCATCAACTGGAAAAGCTTAAAACTTGAGATTCTAAAAGGAAAGAAAAAGAATGTGGAAACCAGCTCAAAGCCAACCGGTTCAAATCAAAGCCAGAACTGAATCAGATCAGACATATCCCAACAGTCTTAGGGACCCATAGTTCAACCAACACCACAAACCAAAAATAAAAAAATAAAGATCAAACCAGAATGAAAAAAAAATTAAAAATGATTTCTTTTTCTCTTTTTGGGAAAGAAAAGGTGCCAACTTTTCTCTTGAGTGGGAATCCTAAGATGGCCACGTCATTGCTAGAGCTGGTGCCACCACTTCCATAAACACCCTCAACGCCGGCATTGTAACATCCCTTCCACCACCGCCGCCATCAGCACAAGTTTTCGCTCATCAATCAGCCAAAGGGCTTTCTATCCTCTACCTGCTGTTAAAAGGTCAAAGGCTCATTCACTTAAAAAGGAGGATCCACAGTTGTTTTTTAATTAAGGGTCATTAAAAAATAATCTTTAATTTTAATGAATTTAATGAACAGTCTTCTCACTCGGACTGCAGTGACGATTATTAATTAGTGAGACACGTGGCATCTGTCAAGTAGTTCGGAGATGCATCTTTTTCTACCCACCTGATTAGTATTTGATGGGAAACCTTGTTTTGTTGTTTTAAGTGCTTCCTACCTAATAAATTCAATTTACTCAAGAAGGTTATTGTTGGATAACAGAGCAAATGGGCATTATCCCAGTGTAATTGGCAGCCAGAGCCGCCTTGAGCCTTGGGTGAGGGCTGTAGTGCTGGTAGGGTCAAAAGGTTCGAGCCATATGTGGAGTCCCATACCAGACGAGAGCCGAACAATGGTCCACAAATGCACGTGCAGAACCCCATATTCATCGTCGGTCACTAGGCTTGATTGTTACTCCTTTCTTTTCCCTTTTCGGTGGACCATAAATTGTTAAGCTTACAACGTTATCCGTTCACAGATTTCTAACAAAACCAGAGTCGGCCTCTCCAACATCAAATATGAAATATCCCAATTTTTATTACACAATGCTTTACCAATGGTCTTAAATTCAGTCAGATTCAAGGAATTTAAGGGCCGAAAACAGCACCCACGAGGGCCTGTCATTAGAGTGGAGACAAAGAGATAAGCACTAAAAAGATGAAAAATTTAGTTACATGCACGTTTAATGGAAAAGAAGAATCATCACTTTCAACGCCAAGCTTAGCTTAGCTTAGTGCACCCCCATAGTTGCTTTGTTGATTAAATTTGTGGATCCCATGTCTCTCCTTTCAGGCTTTATGGGTTCCATAAAAAATCTACATATTTTTTTCATTAGGCTAAGAGTTAGTTGGATGATGGGAAAGCTTAAATCTCCTCATTTTGTGTGTAAAATAGGGTTGGATTGTTTTCGATAAGGTTAGGCTCCCATTCCCTCAATATGCAACTCTTTGTCCACTGCCACCTTTGCAATGGCCAAAACATCTCTTGGTGAGGAGATTTTGGAACTTGCAATCATGGATAAATGTTAATAATGTTGATTTTCTGAATTTAAAAATATTTACTAATAATTTTCACCACTAAATCAGCATAATCTAAGAATTCTTTTTATCACCAAGTTTTGTCTGAGAGTTCCTTGGCTGTTATGTCAATCGTAGTTTGTTTGTCGTCAATCCTCTTGTCTGCAATAAAAAATCAAGATTATTATCTCTTTGATTGATAGATCTTACAAAGGCAATTCTTCAAATATTTAGCAGCTTGGTTACTTATGTTTTTCTGCCGCAAATATTTTTGTACTTTTAGTCCACAAAGAAACTTCTTTTTTATTCACTTAAAATCCTTCAAAGCTTTTTCCATGTCACCACATTTTGCAAACATGTCTATAAGAGCACGGCCTGAGATTGGGTCGATCACGATTCCAGTTTTGTCAATATATGCATCAATCCATCTCCCTTGATCCAAAACTCCAAGTTATGAGCAAGCAGAGAGAGTGCTTGCAAGGGAAACTTTATCAGGCTCGACACCTTCAATCTGCATTTTCAAGTATTCCTTGTACATGCCCTCCCCAACATATCCAGAAATCATAGTGGTCCAAGAGATGACTTTCTTTGTTGGCTCGTTCTTGAAAAATTCAAACGCGATTGACATCTTGCCATACTTTGCATAGTCATCAACCATTGAGTTCCAACAGACAATGTCTCGTTATGAGACCTAGTTGAATATCAGACTGTGATAGATTAAGAAAAATAGGAAGAATGCTAGAATGAGGTAATAGAAAAGAGAGAATTTAGAGAAGGAAAAAGTACTTCATTCATTTCATGTGGAATCAATTTCATCTTACAGCCTATATTATTTAGTTACAATGCTAGAATAGTAATTTGCAAGGATGTAAGCTGGCTGTCCGTTTAACAGATTATAACAAACTAACATATTCTCTTATTGCAGGATATTGGACTTGGATACATGGGCTACTCCTTCTCCATTTGGACTGACTGGGCTGCTAACTCTTCCTGGATCGGATACCGGCCTGCTCCACCATCTCCTGAACCGAGTACGTGCTGCTCCACTTCATCAGGTAATATCATTCGCCCCTCATTTGCTAAAATCCCTAATTCCCCATTTTCATTTCCCTCTCGCACCTCAATCCTTAATTCACCATTTTCCTCTTTGTTTCCACGCTCATCTCCTCCTACTGTGACAATACTCGCCGCTGGAGAAGATCCTTGTCCCCAAGGATCAAAATTCGGAAATTGTCCTCGAAGCACAGAATAATCCTCCCATGTGTCGTTCGTGGCATCCAGGTTAGTCCATCGAACCAGTAACTGAGTTATCGGTTTGTTATGTCGATTAACTATTCTTCTGCCCAGAATCTGACTTGGTTCGATCTTGAACTGACCCTCTTCGTCCATTATAGGAGGATCTATTGAAGACGATATGGCTGCTCCAATGTGTTTCTTCAATAAACTAACATGAAAAATCGGGTGTAGGCGTGAGTTCTCGAGTAAGTCCAGTTTATATAAGGTACCTCTCCAATTCGTTCAATAATCTTATAAGATCCATCAAATCGTGCTGCTAATTTTAAATTTTTTCGCATGGCAAGGGAGGTCTGTAACATCCTCAATACCGGGTTAGTGACTAAATTGTAAAGTCTCAGAATTTGGTGGTTAAAATAAAATGAATGAATAGTATAAAGATTTACATGTAAATTTTTGTGTAGGATGGAATTGAAAGGAAGAAGGAATGGAAGGACAATAGAGTAATGGCAAGGAAAAATAATTAAAGAAAGGATAAGTATATATATATAAGGATACACGTAGGTTGAAGGGGAGAAAACACCCAAGGCTTCCAGAGTTCTCTTATTCTTCTTTCTTCCTTGTGCGTGTGAACCAAAGCAAAGGTAAGATTTCTGATTATTGAGTTTCTTGTTAAATTTAAGATTGGTTTTTGATTATTAGATGATAACTAAGCTTAAGGAAAGCTTAAGTTATCTTAACATCAAAGGATGATGGAGTTAGGAGAGATTTAAGATTTGAAGTTCTTAAATGAAATCTTAGAATAGAGTTCATAACTAGAATTGAAAGTTAAATTTGACTTGTCATCAATCTAGTTAAGATATACGAAGTGTTAAAAGTGGAATTCAAACATGTTGAATTATTGATGTAATTCCTAAAATTACATATGAAGGATAGGATTTGGAGGTTTAAGATGAAATAAATGAGTATAAATTGGTTTAAGGATGTGTACTAGAGTTAAGAATGAAAAAGGGGATTAAACATGAAGGATTTAATCCAAAATGAATGAATTTTCGGGTTCAAAAAGAGGATTCTGGGAAGAGTGCATCGATGCATATTCATAGTGCATCGATGCATCAAGGTTAAAACCCATAAATTGTTTGAAGGTGTATCGATGCACAGGTAGTGCATCGATGCACTCTTTTAAAATAAAAACATCGAATGCAATTCGTGCATCGATGCATAAGGCATGCATCGATGCATCCCATTAATAATAAAACATCGAATGCATTTTATTCACCGATGCACAAGTAGTGCATCGATGCATACCTTTATTAAAAGAGGAAATTAGCATTTATCTTAATCTAAAGAGTGAACCATTAGAGTATATTAGCTATAATACTGATATAGATCCATGTGTGATTATGTAGATACTAAAAGTAAGCTTATTCCGGAACGATTAAAGGATTAGAATCGAATCAAAGCAAAGCTAAGGTGAGTGCATACTATATGTATAGTATAATGGAATAAGACTTGTGATAAGTCTAATCCCTATATTGATTTTAATAGTACAATAGTTGTGAACATGCATACATGATAATTATTGTAATACATGCATAAGGCATATATATGTTCATATGATTGGATAAATGATGTATATATATGAATATATTCAAATACATATGTGATATGAGAACATGACATGAAGTAAGTGACATGAGCTACATGATCACAAGAGAAATGACATGAGTACATGAACATATGAAATATAAGAATAATGCCCATAGTATACTACTATATGAGAGCTATAGGTGTAATTGGCATGCCAAGAGTCGAGGGTATAATAATCCTTCGGGATGTAGTGGTCCTACGAGACATATATAACAGTCCTTCGGGACGAATACTGAACTAAGGTTCGGTGCCCCATGAGGGAATTGATACGAGCTGTGGTGACAACATTAGTGCACAACCTCAATGTACTCATATACCTTTATTCTCAATAATATACATGGGCAATTGAAATACAAAGTAAAGTGAAAGTGGTACAAGAAGGTAAGTTTCGTACATGCATGATATGATTATATATGTTATTGTGTAATAAATACATGCATATTGAAATGTCATGAAGGAAATGGTAAGAATGCATATTCATTTATTACCTCACTAAGTCTATGACTTAGCGTGTAAGTGATTTACACGTAGGTACCAAGAAATAAGAAGATTCAGAATAGAAGTGGCACGGACAACAACATTATTAAGAAATCAGATCAGAAGTAATTGACAAAGTAGGTATTTTGTTGTGTATAGAGTGTTGGTATGTAATAAGTGGTTAATTACGAATGCTCTGATCAAGTTTGTATTTTGTGGTCTCTTTTATATAAATTAACGTATTTTGTTTTAAACAAAGTTTTAAATTCTCGGGATTTTTCTTTAAGAGTCAAAGTTTGAAAAGTCAAAGTGACACCTCGGACTCGTATTCGGAGTCGGGTACGGGTTGGGGTGTTACAAGGTTTGTTTGTAGGGCTGCAATTTCAGGTAAACCAAATCCCCCACCTGAAAGGTTCTCTCTTATATGTGTTTATCAGCTTTCTGCTTCATTCGATTACTTGCTTTTTCTAACTGAAACTTGACTAATTGCCTTATCTCTTTTCTGCTCTGCTTTAATTCTGATATTGTTTGCACTGGACTGTCTGTATGCCATACCATTATAGGAGGCTTGTAGCCATATA